ATTAAAATAAAATTTTAATAAATAAAATTGAAAAAACAAATAAAAAATATAAAAACGAAGACCAAGGTTAATATCAAAAGTTTAAGAATCGAATTTGATATAATCAGCAAGTAATAAAATGAGGACAAAGGTTAATATCAAAAGTTTAAAAATCGAATTTGATATAATCAGCAAGTAATGTGATATTTCTAAATTTTTCACAACTTTTAGAAAGTATTTTCCGTCTAAAATTTTCAAGCAAACACTTTTTTTGAAATTAAGCTAAATTTTTCTTTTACTAAAACTTGTTTTTCATTAATTAATTTTTCTAATAACAAATAAATATATAAAAAAAATAAAAATCATTTTTTAAAAATTAATTTATGATAAATAAACATATCTTACAATTAAGTTGAACAAGTGATAGCTCAATTTTAACTAAGTTAATGTAAATTTTAGCCTTCGCTAATCTATGTCTCGGATCAACAGCATGCATTCTGATTTTATGACTGTGTTTTATGGTAATATTGCTGAGATTTGTAGTCAAATTACAAATTTACATTTTTTAACAAAAATATTTTTCAGATTATAATTCTTGTTGTGCCCGTATGTATCTAAGTGAAAAAACATTTTCTCCTTGCAGGCTGATTGGGTGAAATCCCTTGATATCAAGAAAAATCCGAGTAGAATCAAGCTAAATTAATTCATACAATTATCCCTCGTTTTAAAGAGGATAAACAAATTGACTAAATATTATTATCGAGGCATAGATAAAAATCATCTTCACAACTAGATGTATGTTCATTGTTACAGCCCTTGTAAGCACCATTCGAGAACATCTTACACCGTGTTTTATAAAAAATTAATTTTTTAATTAAAAATTAATTTGTTTGTATTCTTTATTTTTAATTAAAAATTAATTTGTTTGTATTTTTTAAATTATCTTGATACACTAATTTTAAAAATATTATAAAAATAACTATAATTATATTTTCAAATAAATATTAAACTCTAGAAAATATATGGTTTTTATAAAGTAATCAATATATTTTATTAATTATTTTATTAATATGCTTGGAAGAAACGCAACTAGAAAATTAAAAATACTAAATAAAAACACCATGGACCACAACACTCATCCAAGTGAATTTTTTTGTCGTACAAAACTGTACATCTTGTTCCTTTAATTTTTTTTTATTTTAAATATGATAATTTTACATTGCAGTAATGCGGGTTTGGGCTTGATAAATTATTATGTCAACTTATGAATGTCAAGGAAATATTTTATTGGTTGGCTTGAAAAAATAAATTTAAATTTTACTGGCTGAGATCACTTAGAGCTCTCGGATCTAAATTTTAAACTTTACGAGGTAGCATGTCTGTATGTTTTTCATGGGTTTATAAAATATAGATATCTAATAATATTATAATTATAAATTAATATTAGATAAATAATAAAAACTAAATATATAATGAAGCTAATATTTTATGATAAAAAAAAGTTATATTCATGATAAAAAATTAAGAAATTAAACAAAATAATTAGTAGCAATTCATAATATTTTGTGAGGAAAAATACAGTATTTTTACCACATGATTTAAATTGTTTATTAATAAAAATATTACAAAAAAAGAAAACACAAAAGAAACAGGAAAAAAAACATGTGAGAAAAAACTATATCAATCCATAATGTTTTGTGAGAAAAGTTACAGTGTTTTCCCTTTATGATTTAGCTTTACTTATAATTATAATTTTTAATCAGCTTAATATTTAAAAAATAAAATTGACAAAGATAATTTTAGAAAAAAACCCGTGAGAAAAAATATTATAGCAATCGACAATGTTTTGGTGAGGAAAACTATAATGCATTCTCTAATAAAATCAACAAAAAGAATTTTAGAAAAAATCCTAAAAAATCATTTAGATAAATACTGTAGCAATTCATGGTATTTTATGAGAAAAGTTACAACACTTTCCTTGTATGATTTAACTTTATTGTAACTATAATTCTTTACCAATTTAATATTTAAAAAAATCAATAAAGATAATTTTGGAAAAAAATATATCAAAAAACACTACAGCAATTCATAGTGCTTTAAATAAAAATTATAAATCTATTTTTTTAACAAACTCAATATTAAAAAAATAAAATCAACATGAACAATTTTAGAAAAAACAACAAAAAAAAACATGTTGAAAACATCGTGGCAATTCACAGTTTTTTGTGATGAAAGTTACAGTGCTTCCCCACATGGTTTAACCTTTATCTGCAATGACTCAGTATTAAAAAATAAAATTAACAAAGATAATTTTTAAAAAATCACGAGAAAAAACTATGTTGAGAGACGCTCTAGCAATACACGGTGTTTTGTGAAAAAAATATACAATGTTTTCCCCGCATAATTAAGCTTTATTATAAAGTTAAATTTTAATCAGTTTAGTATTAAAAAAATAGAACCGACAAGGATAATTTTGAAAAAAATTATAAAAAAACATCAAAGAAACTGGAAAAAAACAATATAACAATTCACATTAATATGTGAGAAAAGTTATAGTGTTTTTCTCACATATTGTAACTATAATTTTAATTAGTTTAACATTAAAAAATAAAATAAAAAATAATTTTTGAGAAAATCATCAAAAAATAAAAAAAAACTACGTGGAAAAACACTGTAGTAATTAGTAATACTTTTTAAAAAATTACAAAACTAAATTTTCAACAAGCATAATATTAAAAAAATAAAAAAGTAATTTTAAAAAATAAAATAGAAAATTCATGTTGAAAAATATCATAGTAATCCACAATATTGTTTTTTTAAATTACAAAGTAAAATTTCTAACCAGTTTAATATTAAAAAATTAAAATGAACAATGATAATTTTTTTAAAAAAATAGATGAAAAAAAGGAAAAGTTGGAAAAAAAAGTAATTTAAAAAAATAAAAAATCACTATAAATTACTATTATAGTCAACTGAATATCTGCTATAAGTGAATGATAAATCACCCATACTCTAATTTTCTCTTAATAGGGAGCAGGGTGCACGTTCAAGTGAAAAATTCAAGCTCAATTTATATTTTAATTTAATCCTCCTGGATTTTTTATTCTAGAAATTAACCTAGTGGTTTCTTTTGATTACCTAAATGTAAACTTCTTGCAGTGGAAATTTTAGTGCTGGATAATGCTTGATTTGTGATAATAAAACCAAATTATGCTGACTTGGAGCAATTGGTGCTCGGGGACCTTGTTTTATACTTAAATAACATGGAGGTGTAGCGTGTTTGAGAACATGATATAAATCTTTTATTTAATATATTTATAAATAAAAAAACATTTTTAACTATTATCACTGTTATAATTTCAAACAAACCATTGAGTTAATAAGAAAATTGAAGCCACAGCTCTCTGATAATTGCGCATAGTTTTTTTAAATATATTTTTTAAATATATAATGATAATATTTTTTTAAAATTATTTTTGATATTAATATATTCAAATAATTTAAAAAATAAAAAAATATATTAATTTAAAATAAAAAAATATTTTTTTTCCAAAAACACTTCAAAAAAAACATAGAGCGAAAGGCGAAACACGACCTTATGTATTGCATTGGAAGCACTGTGATATGTTATCTTGTCCAGGGCAACGCGTGGCAACGAAATCGCAAGGTGATGTCGCTGGAGATGCTCTCTTTCTTCTTTCCCTGACATCTCATGAAATTCGCATCGGTCTAGCTACAATTTAAAGTGGTTCTCCAATTTTATTGTCATTTTAAATTTTATTTTTTAAGTTGTTATTTTATCTTCTGATCATTTTATAATTTTTTTTAGTTATATATTTTAATTCAGAATTTTAAGTTGTTTTTCTATTTTATTTTAAAATTTAAAATTTATTTTTTTTTTTTTTAAAAAATTTATTTTTTATTTAAATTTATTTTTAATTTTTATTTTTAATTTTATCTTTAAACTTTATAAACCTTTCATTAGCGATCATATTTCAAAAACTTTATATTTTTTTGGGTAGGGTTGATTTTTATGCACTATTTATTTTTATTTATTTAAATTAATTATTAGAAGTTTGGTGATTTTTTTTGATTTTTTTTTAAGATAAGTTTTTTGGTGTTATTAGTAAGACTCCGTTTATTTGCAATAAAGTAGTTTTTATTCGGAAAATGAATTATTTTCTAATATTTGATAATGCAATGAAAAATATGTTAGAAAACACTTTTCCAGTATTTGGCTATATTATGAAAAGTGAGCTAAAAATTAACTTATTAATGTTTTATTTTTCTCAAATTTATTAAAATAACGAGAATCAAATATTACAAATTAAAAAGTTGAATGAAAATAAAATTAAAAAAAATAAAATTAATAAATTATCTCAAATAAAATAAATAATAAAAATTAAATCTAAAAAATAAAAAAACTAAAATATAAAACATTAAAATAATAATAGTTAACATTTCATAAATTATTTCAAATAAAATAAGTAACAATCAAAATAATGATGATCAAATTTGATAAATAAAAAATCTTAATAAAAAATAATAAAAAAATAAATAACAATTAAAAAAATAAGGATTAAAGTTAATATAAAAATTAAATTTTAAGAAATAAAATTAAAAAATAAATATTCAAAACAAAATTTACATAACAATCAAAAGTTTAATAATCAAATTTAATATAATCAATAAATAATATAATATTTTTAAATTTTTCACAATTTTTATAAAGTGTTTTCCAATTATATTTTTTTAAAAAATACTTTCATGAAAATCTAGTTAAATTTTTTTAACTAAAAAGTATTTTTTAATCTATTTTTTTTAATAATAAATAAATATAAAAATATTAAAAAATAAATTTTCAAAAACAAGTTTTCAGCAAACATGACTAGGGATTTTTGCAATCTAAATTTCAAATTTGGTTAGGAAATAAAAAAGGAAAGTAAAGTTAACTTAGGATTTACCGGAGACAACAAGGGGTGGGGCCTTCTTTCTTTATTTTCATGGGAAGCTGAAGTCACTCAGTTCTGTTGAAAATAGAGGGAGAGCGTTGTGGCAATATCAAATAGAGTGTTGAGGAGGTTACTATTCTCTTTCTTTTAGGGTTCCTGCTCTGCTTTTACCCTTCAAATCTTTCAGGTATTTTTAGAGCAAAACCCATGTTTCTCAGATGTTCACTGTTCTCATTTTTCTTTTTTTTAGGCGGATTCTTAAAAAAGCAAGTGAGGAGTTATTTTTTTCCGGGTGGTCTCGTGGTTGACTCTCCACAATGTTGCACTGTTTCGTGAAATATTTTGGGTTTCGTTTTTGTTCTGTGGGCGTGAACTTGTTCTTGAGCACTTTATTGCTATATTTTTTTAAAGCCTAGTTTTCCATTTGTATAGAAAACCCATTTCTCCAGTGTTTGAGTGGGTTTTGGTTATATTTTTGCAAATTTTTCTATATTTTTGGTTAATTTTTGAAGGGTTTATTTTATCTTCAGTTTCATCTTTAGAAGGTTCAATCTTTGCAATGCTGCTCTGTTTCTTCTTTTATTATTATTTTTTGTCACTTATTTTTTAATCATACCTGGTTCAATTTTTTCTTTCTTTTTGAGCTTGCTTTCATTTTTCTTTTATAAAGAAAAACACAACTTCTTGTTTTTATTCAAATCTATTCAGGGTTTTATTTATTTATTATTTTTATGCTTATCTGTTCCATTTCTGTTTGCAGAATTTCATAGATTTGCCGAGTTTCTGTAATTGGAGGTAATATTTTCTCCAATAATGGACATTTATGCTTGTTATGATACATGCATGTAGGTTTTCTTGCATTTTTGGTGATTTTTCTGTGTTTTCTCTAGTCATTTTGGTTTATTTTAGTAGTTTTGTGTTACTTAGTGAAAATACTTCAATGAATTACCTTACTGTAAAGTTTAATTATTTTTTCTTTGTTTAGTTTTAAGAAACATTCTCCTTCTGTTTTAGTAATTTTAATCAAGTAATGAAGGGTTTCAAAGTGCCATTTTGACTTTTATCATATACTAATTTATTTTTGCTAATGTTTTAATAAATACTTTTTTCCCCTTATATTTGCTGTACGAAATGATTCTATTGTTTAACTTCAATAATGTTTTAAATTAATTCTTTTCGTTATTTTTTCTTGGTATTTTTTAAAGTCTGAATTTTTCCTAGTATGCTAATCCTGGACTTTGGGGTGTTTTCGTTGGTGCTTGGGAATCGAAGCAGTAGCAATGCTTTAAATGGATGGCATTTTTATTTCAATGACTTTGAGGGATTCTCCATGATGTTCTGTAGTGCCATGGTTTCCTGTTTTGTGTGTGACTTATTAATACGTGCTGTGCTTTGTAATTGCTTTTAATTTTCTCCTTTTTTTGGTATCGGGTTTATGTATGCTTTTCTGTTCCTATCACCACTAAATTTTCTTTTTAAAATTTCATTGATAGCTGTCAAGTTGGATACAAGCAATTTCTCTGGAATGTAATAAGATTTGAATGCCCAGATTCTTCTTACACAAGTTTGGTTTGGGAGTCTACAACAATGGCCCTTGCATGATTTGTTCACCAAATTGCTTCCCTCAACTTGGATTCCTGCATCCTCACTTAGTGGTGTTTCTGTGACAATGATCATGTTGTCTTAATCTCTTCAGGTTTATTGGTACATAGATTCATTATTCTTGTCATCAAGATTCTGTACGGTTTCTAATGAAGCTAGCATCCAGTCAAACCAAATTTTAAGTTTCCAGTTCTATCATCCATTTTGCTTTTAGTAGTTCTAACCTGCTTTTGTTTTAAACTTGTATCATTTCACCGTTGCATTTCAGCATTTAGTGCCTGTTAATGCAATGTTCAATGTTGTGTGATGTCTGCTGGAACTTTGTTCATGGGTTTGCTTTGTTGTTATGTTCCTACAAATTCAGATATTGTTGACTAGAAATAACTTCTTGTACAGGCTATGATTCTTGTGCCTGCCCCTTTCTTGTATTGTTGCTGTTGCTGTTGCTGCTAGTCTTATTTTTATTAGTGGTTTCATGTTGTTTTCATTTCAGGATATGGAGTCAGCTGATGAACAGAATGGAAATGGGTCACAGGAAGCCCTCCCACCTCCCCCTCCTGATGTTCCACCAAATGTTGTTCCAGTTAAAGCTGAACCTGAGCCTGTCAAGAAAAAACCTCTGCGGGTTCCAATAGCCAGGCGTGGCCTTGGATCCAAAGGCCAAAAGATGCCTCTATCGACCAATCACTTTAAAGTCAATGTTACTAATACTGAGGGATACTTCTTTCACTACAGTGTACGGGCCTATATTTCTGTCCTGTAGTTTTTAGATTTCATCTCTATCTTATTCTGCATATATTTCAACTTACCTGATGTTATACAATCAGGTTTCCCTTGCTTATGAAGATGGCCGCCCTGTTGATGGTAAGGGTGTTGGAAGAAAGGTGATTGATAGGGTGCATGAAACTTATGATACCGAGTTTGGAAAGGATTTTGCTTATGATGGTGAAAAGAGCTTGTTCACTGTTGGTCCCCTTCCTCGCAACAAGCTTGAGTTCACGGTTGTGCTTGAGGATGTAGTATCTAACAGGTTTGTATACATTCTTCTTACTTATTCAGGCTGCTGCTGCTGCTGCTGCTGCTTTGTTTAACCTGGCCTGTTCCCACCATTCTTTTTCTGTCAATTTAGCTCTATCACTTGATCAGTGCTTTCTTGTTTTGTTTACAGAAATAATGGAAATGCAAGCCCTGATGGCCATGGAAGTCCAAATGAGGGTGACCGAAAGAGGTTGCGCCGTCCCTATTACTCCAAGACATTCAAAGTGGAGATTAGTTTTGCTGCAAAAATCCCCATGCAAGCCATTGCAAATGCCTTGCGTGGTCAGGAATCAGAGAATTCCCAAGAAGCCTTTAGAGTGCTGGATATTATATTGCGACAGCATGCTGCCAAGCAGTAAGTGAAACACATTATTGTCATTTTTTCTTTTGAGTTTGGTCCTAAGTCTTTTATTCTGGCCTATGCAGGGGCTGCCTCCTTGTGCGCCAATCCTTCTTCCATAATGATCCAAAAAATTTTGTGGATTTGGGAGGCGGTGTTCTTGGCTGCAGAGGTTTCCACTCAAGTTTTAGAACATCTCAGGGAGGCTTGTCTCTTAATATTGGTAAAGAACATACAATTGTTGCTGTTTGAGTTTCTTGCTAAAATCATCTCCTTTTGTTGTTTTTCCTTACTTGTCATGTTACTCTCTTATCAGATGTGTCTACAACCATGATAATACAGCCAGGTCCTGTGGTAGATTTTCTAATTGCCAACCAAAATGTGAGAGATCCATTTTCACTTGACTGGGCGAAGGTAATCCATGTTTCTGCATGCTTCTTTCTCTGCTTTTCTTCTTTTTTGCACTTACGAAGTTTTGTTGATAATTTCTGCCAACAGGCGAAACGAATGCTCAAAAATCTGAGGGTTAAGGCAAGTCCTTCCAATCAGGAGTACAAGATAACTGGGTTGAGTGAGAAGACTTGTAAAGAACAAATGTATGCTTTTCTGGTGCTGTTATATTATTAAAATTGTTCTTAGATACACCCTGTATATTCTTGATTTACCCCTTGTTTCTATAGGTTTCAGTTGAAACAGAAAAATGGAGGGGATGGTGGGGTCGAGGCTGTTGAAATAACTGTTTATGATTATTTTGTCAATCACCGCAACATCGATTTACGTTATTCTGGTGATCTGCCATGCATTAATGTTGGGAAGCCAAAGCGCCCTACTTATATTCCTCTTGAGGTGAGTTGATATTGTATTGATCTGTTTGAATGCATAAAGAACAAACTTTTGTTTATCATGGATTAATTTTATATTTCTTTTTTCAGCTTTGTTCCCTGGTGTCCCTACAACGCTATACCAAAGCACTGTCCACACTTCAAAGGTCTTCGCTGGTGGAGAAATCACGGCAGAAGCCGCAGGAAAGGATGACTGTTTTATCTAATGTAGGTGTCATTACTCATCTCATGGCTAGCACGGTTCTTGAATTTTTTTCATGTGCCATCTTTATACCATTCTTCTTGCAGGCTCTGAAGAGCAGCAAGTATGATGCTGAACCCATGCTACGCTCGTGTGGCATTTCAATCAACCCTAGTTTCACACAAGTGGAAGGCCGTGTTCTGCCTGCTCCTAAGGTATATATATTTTTATTTCGACATATCCAATTTGAAAGGGCAATGAATGTAGAACATGAAAAGACTGCCCCTGCACAGTAGCTGTTTTTATTAAGTTGATGTATTCATAGGATATAATCATGATGGCCTTTGTTGATGTATTTATAGGATATAATCATGATGGCCTTTGTTGCCATAATGTGGTGGAGCTTTATTAAAATATCCTTCTGTTGTTTACAGCTGAAAGTTGGCAACGGGGAAGATTTCTTCCCAAGAAATGGACGTTGGAATTTCAATAACAAGGTGATTATTTGCTTTTCCTCCCAGTTATGATTCTAAATTCTCTTTCTCACAAGATTACAAAATTCTTCTAAAGAAACTTGTGGAGCCATCTAGGATCGAGAAGTGGGCTGTCGTGAATTTCTCAGCTCGCTGTGATATACGCAACCTTGTACAAAATCTCACAAAATGTGCAGAGATGAAAGGAATTGTAAGCTCCATAATTTTGCATTAATTAGTGACCTTCATAATTTTGCACTTCATTGGAAATCCTTTCTTTTTCCCCTGGATATGTAGCCCATAGAAGATCCTTTTGATGTATTTGAGGAGAATCCACAATCAAGACGTGCCCCACCAGTGGTTAGAGTGGAGAAAATGTTTGAGCATATTCAGTCTAGACTTCCTGGGCAACCAAAGTTCTTACTGTGCTTGCTTCCTGAAAGAAAGAATTCTGATATATATGGTTTGTTATGAGATCAAGTCTTTGATTTGCAATGATGCTCTACTTAGTTCTTCTTGATAAATAGATGTCATTGATTTTCAAGGCCCATGGAAGCGCAAAAATCTTGCTGAATATGGAATTGTCACTCAGTGCATTGCGCCTCAAAGAGTTAATGACCAATATCTTACCAATGTTCTCCTGAAGATCAATGCAAAGGTGAGCTATTACATTAATTTGTGTCTTCTCAAGACTTTGTGTGCCCTTGTCTTTTTTCTTGTTTTAATTGCTCTTTTGTTTAGTTTTTAGTAACTTTTGAAGTATAACGTGTAGTTAGTTTTTGGTAATCTAATGGTGCACCATATCTACTCTCTTACACGCAGCTTGGTGGGTTGAACTCTATGTTGGCTGTGGAACACGCCCCCTCATTACCTCTTGTGTCGAAGGTTCCCACGCTTATCCTTGGGATGGACGTGTCCCATGGCTCTCCTGGGCAGTCTGATGTCCCTTCAATTGCTGCGGTACTGCTTTTTGGCTTTTATTGGTTTCATGCTGTGAATGAATATCATTTTTGCTGGTCATTGTAATTCTGTAAATTAGACGAATGCTATTTAAAAAACTGCTTCCACAATTTCATTTCATCTCTTTCCCCTGATCTTGGTATCCTTTGTTGGAATTCGTAGGTAGTCAGCTCCAGGCAGTGGCCTTTGATTTCTCGCTATCGGGCATGTGTGCGAACACAATCCCCAAAGCTTGAGATGATTGATTCATTATTTAAGCGAGTGTCTGAGACTGAGGATGAAGGAATAATTAGGTGGGCCTTTCTATTTAGAAGCTATTTGATTGAACTAAATGGAGTTGTGTATTATTTTAATGAGGGCAGAGGGATTTTAGGTGGTTTAACCACCTCAATAGCCTGTTGGAAGTAAAAAGGCTGAGCAATTCTCTAATGTCATTCACGTGAAATTAAAGAGATTGAGTAATATATGTATTTCCTTTCCATTACAGGGAGCTTCTGTTAGACTTTTATGTGACTTCAGGAAAAAGGAAACCTGATCAGATCATCATATTTAGGTATACCTTATGCCACTTATCTAAACTTGGCTGTAATGAAGCATATCTGATGCGTTGTCTTCTCCTTTCATTGGTAAAACTAGTACTATTTTATTAGTTTAAGATAAAATTCTGAGAGGAAAATATCATTGGAGACTGTGCTTTAGGTCTTTTGGTAGCTATATATATGTTTTAGGACTTCGTGCATATGTTCTCTCTATGAATTCTATGCCTGACTTGTATTTTTATTTGTTGCTACATATACTCTACTTTTGAGCTAACTGGTCATAGTTGACACTCATTCCTATTCTCATGTCAGCACAAGTTCATTTGGGAACTATTGTTCAACAATTTGACATGTATTTGTTTGTGTTAGTGGAGATGAAGATGTGAAGTTGAGGTTGTTTGAACGTCCAAAGTCTATTTTGGAAATGACATTTATTGGGAAATAATGTTTCGTACATATCCTGTCTCATTTGTTGTGTATTTCTTGCTTTTCATTTGCCCGGTGAATTTTACGAGATTTATGGAAGTGTCATTCATTATAATGGTAGCTTTATGCTCCTGCAATGTTTGATTGAATCTTGGATGTAGTTTTATTTTTTCATACATTTGAATAGGTCTCATGAAGATTTTTCATGTGGATGTGTTTAAGGTGGATGTTAGGTAGTTTTGTACATGCTTAAACACTTCTAATCAATGTGATTTTTTGTTTTAGGGACGGGGTCAGTGAATCACAATTCAATCAGGTCTTGAATATCGAATTGGATCAGATAATTGAGGTATAAGCCATTGCTCTTCTATTTAATTCTATGCTTGACAACCTATACCCTCTGTGGATTGTGGTTCTTTTTGGGTATAAAAAATCTTGTCATGTTTTTCTTCAGGCGTGCAAGTTTCTTGATGAGAAGTGGTCCCCATCGTTTGTGGTAATTGTAGCTCAGAAAAAAAATCACAGAAGGAGAAGAAGACAAAAAAAATCAAAGTCTGCCATCCAGGCGTGTAAGTTTCTTGATAAGAAGTGGTCCCCATCGTTTGTGGTAATTGTAGCTCAGAAAAACCACCACACTAAATTTTTCCAACCTGGATAATGTCCCTCCTGGTACAATTATTGACACCACCACACTAAATTTTTCCAACCTGGATCTCCTGATAATGTCCCTCCTGGTAAACCTTGAAAATAATTCCTTGCTGACTTTGATTTAGGAATAAGCCTGGATATCAACATAACCACGTGTTTTTCTTTCAGGTACAATCATTGACAACAAAGTCTGCCATCCAAGAAACAATGACTTCTATCTCTGTGCTCATGCTGGGATGATTGTGAGTGTCAACATAAACCATTGGAAATTCTGTTTGAAACTGATACTTGAAATTTTTTGTTGTGCTGTCCTATGATTTTGAGAGAGACATGTTGGTTTCTCCTTGTTTTCCATGTGCATGTAATTACTGACCTAGTTTGGGGCTGTTAGCGAGCCCTCCCACTTTTCATTGCATCAAATTACCTCTGAATGTTCCCTTTTCTCTTGGAATTAATTAACAAAGAAGAAGAGTACCTTCACAATAGTGTTGTCATTTTGTTTTCCTTTGTCTTTCAAATCTATCGCCAAATATCTTCTGCTTGTGGCATGGCATCTACTGCCACTGTTGCTGTGTGATATGCTTCATATGTTCTTTCTATGTTTGTTTCTATTTCCAAAACTCATTGGTTCTTGTCTATTCGAGTTGTACTTGGAATTGTATCCGTGAAATGCCAAGCATCGGGAAATTTTTCTTGCAGTGATAGTGGTTATAAAAGTAGGAGAGATTTCAAAAACTCTTGATCATCCTGTGATGTCCTAGAATAGAACTGGTAACATTTGTATCATGGGTTTGTTTCTGAGCAGGGAGGTCTTTGAAGAGCATTTCAAATTCAGGGATTCCCTGCCTCTCAATGGGTCATGTGTAGGAGTAAAAATTTCCAATACATTATTTGTTTGAAGGGAGTTCTATTTTAGTTTTTAACTATAAGTAGTTTGAAAGTTTTGCTTGTGTATTATGAAGTTCTCCTTTTGTTTCTATTTTTTAATTGGAAATTTAGGTTACATACTTACGAGGCAACTCTTTTGACTGAATCATTGATGCTTTTCTATATTCAACTGTTTTCCATGCACATGCCTGCAGTACTTATTGTTAATCATTAATGTGTGTTTAAGTTCTGCTATTCTGGTCATCTTTTGTTGTTCAGGGGACTACAAGGCCTACTCACTACCATGTTTTGTTAGACGAGGTTGGTTTTTCAGCAGATGATCTGCAGGAACTTGTGCATTCCCTCTCATATGTGTAAGTAGAACTTTTAACTCTACTCTGGTTTAATGATATGTTTTGACCTTTAGCAACTGTTACCATACTTATCTTGTTTGTAATTGACACTGCAGATACCAAAGAAGCACGACGGCCATCTCTGTAGGTAAAACATACTTCTATCTTGGTGTGATTTAGTGTAGGATCTGATGTTAGCTGGAGCAGATGTTCACCTTGTAGCATTATAAGTTTGAACGAAGGCAACATTTGGCTTTATGGTTTGTGTGCTTTTTTAATTGATTTTTGAAGTGCTTCGCATCAAATTGATGCCTTTTTAGGTGCTTTTATACGAGGAAGAATCATTCCTTTCAAATGAAAAGTATTTTCTGTTTTCTGAGTGCTGATTTTAAAATTTTTGAATGGTGTTCATTTAATATGTGCTACCCTTTGGAGGTTGTTATTGGATCCTACATTGTTGCATTTAGTAGACTTGTATTGAGATTCAAGAACCACTTTAGTTTGATCAGAAAGGGACACTTTTTTAATTTATCCAAATCTAATTGTTCTATTATTTTGCAGTTGCACCAATCTGCTATGCCCACCTGGCAGCTACTCAAATGGGCCAGTTTATGAAGTTTGAAGACACGTCTGAGACTTCCTCAAGCCATGGTGGGATGACCTCAGCAGGAGCTGTTCCTGTCCCGCAGTTGCCGAGGTTGCAGGATAAAGTTTGCAATTCCATGTTCTTTTGCTGAGCATGCTAGCCCTTTTACTCTGTATGTAAATAAAACTAGATGGACAGCAGGTGTTTGGGGTTTCTGAATTTGGTGCAGCCTTGCTGTGGAGTTTAGTTGAACACCATGTGGTGGATCCAAGTATATTTTGGTCAGGCAAATATATGGTTCTACACCTAGGCATAGTGATGCCATTTGACACGTTTTGGACCGTCTTGGATTCTGCCTCTAGGTATGGTCACTTGCTGATGGCTTGTCACAGCTTTGCATTTTGTTCAGTTCATGTTTCTGTGCACAACGTCTGCAAGCAAATCCGGTGCATGCACAATCCTGGGTTGCATGGTATTTTGTAAGCGGATGATGTTGCTTTATGCATGGATGAAATTTGTCATCTGAATGCTCCAGGAACACGTCGTTTTCTCAAGTGACTGCTGGTTTAGTCTTTCCTTCTCACTGAGACTCTTGATTTGCAGAAATCAGAACGAAATTGTAAAAAATCTTGTTCTGGTATCGAGTCATGAAAGTCTGAGGACGCATCTGAGGCCCGTCCTCAAGGCCACCATATACGTACATCATTTAGACACCCTAATTCTCTTCCTCTCACCCCTTTGCCCATTCTACCAAATTTAAGGAGGCAGGGGGGAGGACAGTGCCATACAATTTCAAGAGGGCTTCAAATTTTATTCTCAGAGACTTAAAGCTAGGATCTCCCAAGCCCTCTATTTCTTAAACTAGAACAAAAACCTAATGAACAAATCAACTTGACAGGTAGAGCATAGCATAGGAGGTGAGCAGAGCAAAAAGCACGGTGAGGCCATGGCTAGCACTCTTCGATGGACTAGCATTTGTGACGGCTAATGGCGCTGGATCAGGCGGAGGATATTGAGCTTGCACTGCAACTTTCATCCCTTTAAAGCAGTAGCCGCGACCACTAAGAAAGTAATATGGTCTTGCCTCTGTGAGATTGAACACGTCCCGGCCACCTCTTGTAATGTTTGCTATGCAGTTTTTGTCATTGCAGTTGTTGTAGTCAATCCTATTCACCTCCAGAACACTGTAGCGGGTTTTATCGAATCCAAAGTCTTCGCAAAGCAGAAATCCAAGTAATTATGAAACATTGAAGAACATCAAGGACTCGAAAGAAAATTGAAACTCAGAAAAACGACTCACAGAGCCAGTCTTCCACGTAGAATTCTTCATGCATAGCCCAAGCAGTGAAGTTCATATTCGGTGCCCAAGTGTATTTTCCTCCTCCAACTCTGTGGAGAACTGGCTCTCTGCATTCTGCAGTGCTCCATAATATGTTCACCACAGTAATCAACAGCAAAAGCATGTTCTTCATATTAAAAACCTCCATTTTCTCCAATCTTTTTTCATTCTCACGAGTGCTGGAGCTTCGCGGAAGAGTTAAATGGTACCAGAACATGCAAATCTTGAAGCAGGTACCAGTTGGCAACAATCCATTTAGCATGAACAGGTTGTGATAAAAGTAGCTTCATCACCAATATTTCATGGGCTAAAGTATTTTTCTAGAACAGCAGTATTAATTAACAGGACTAAATGGCAGTTCCTTCTTATCCAATAATCACAAGTTCTAATGGCAGCTGCTCATCAAAAGAATAAATTGTGACAATTCACTGTTGATTTTGCTTTTTATCAATGGAGAAAATTCAAAACAAAGAAGTTTTCATATGCCCTGAAGCTTAAAACAATGGCCACCATTAGGCACCAAAAACAAACACAATCCATAGCAATTCCTTAGTGGACAACCTTATACAACATATAAATAATGTATATCAACTCCTGGAGGATTGCCCAGGCCAAGAGAACATTAGTAAGCACAGCCATTACAGCAACGACATGGCCATCAAATCTTGACGGAGAACCATTTTTTATACTTTCAACACCAGTTAATTGAGATGGCGAAGGGGCAGGCTGAGGATTTTCAACATTGATAGCAACTTTCATTCCTCCGAAGCAACTGCCACCACCATTAATGAAATAGTATGTCTTGGCCTCATTCACTTGGAATACATCTCGACCTCCCCTTGTGATATTCTTTATGAAGCCCACGTCGTGGCAACCTTCATAGCCTGTCTTGTTCACCTCAAGAACATTATAGAGTTTCTTGTCGAATCCAAAATCTTGGAAAGAAAAAGAGAAAAATGTAAGAAGAAAATATACACTAACACACAAATATTGAAATTAAATATGTAATTATATCATCAAAATCTTCATTAAGCATACAGTGCATCTTTAGCATTTATACAAATGAAATTCTTAACATAACAACGGTTATAGATTAACCTAAAAAAGGAGTAATGGTTATGGATCTTCTCAATTTAAAGAAGAACCCTAGAAGTTGCACGCTAGTTTTTGATCTAAGAATTTGATTTACGTATCCCGATTGAAGGATAGGATAAAAATAAAAATCAAGAAAGAACATCTACACACAAATACATGGAAGAACATGATAGTAGAAGAAAATAAAAAAATGAAACTTACAGAGCCAGTCTCCCGCATAGATGTTTTGACGTGCAGACCATTCAGAGAAGTTAACGTTAGGTCTCCATGTTTCTTTCCCTCCTCCTACATAAATAAGTGAAGCATTCGCCATACGCACTGTGACAACCATCGTCATCAGCACTACTAACATTTTCCTTAAACTTTCCATTTCCTTGCTTTGTTTTTATTCTTCTGTTTAAGGGTTTTGCAAAACTATGAAGTTGTAGATGGCCTATTGTATCCCATGAATGTGTGTGTACGTGCATGTATCTATTTATGGAGATAATTAATTTGAAGAGGTAATTAGGGCAGAAATGTAGCATTAAAACAAAAGGAAAGTGACAAAAACTAAGGGAACTAAATCTTTAGGATGAGCTAATTAACCATTCGGGTCAAAGGAATCGTGAAAAATATTGATGATTAATGCTATATCTTTATGGTTTTCCTAAGAAAATATTGATCACCACGACAGAGGTTTGAATACTTGGTCTAACTAATATTTATGGAATATTATTTCATTAAATAACGTCAATTAATTAAGTTTTGACTCATGGTTTAGATTCACCTATATATTTAGGCACAAAGATTGAAGATTTTCAACTTGATCTTTGATATGAATCTAGAAGTTTGTTATTTTCCTTTTATTACCCGAGATAGATTAATATAGACACAGTAGAGAAGAGGGATTTTAATTATAATTAACATGGTAAAAGCACACAAGTGCAAGGGCAAACATAGAGGTGGCTACAAGGCCTCCCAAGAACCATAACCATGCATCACAAGAAGCCTTTTTATTTAATTAGTAGTTTAATTTCTTGAATTTATTTATTAATAGTTATAAGTTCAATTTTTCTTAAAATTATTAGAAATTTATGTTAATTTTAGAATATGTAAGATTAATTAAGGTATGTGCACACTAACTTAAAAGATGCATATTAATTAAAAAAAATAAAAATTTTCAGACATTGTTTGAAGGGAATAGTCTAACAAATAAGAGGCTCAAACGCGAAAGAAAATTTGTGAGAGGTGGGATAAGATTTCTTAGGATTACGGCTCAAATTCTATCTCATACAGATTTGCAGATATCACCCTTTCCATCCCTGGTGTCCATAAGCCAGAATTTTGGTTATACATGTTTCTACTGACATTCAAGGGGAGAAGCTTCATGGGACATGGCACTCCACAAGTTTTGAAGATTTTCAATTTGATTATTGCGTCTGTGAATTTTTCATAATAGTTAAGCATTTGACCCTTCAAAAACATCACATTTTCTCCTTGATCATTTTTAAGTCTACTCCTTTTCAATGTCATCCTAATAGCTGATACCCCTTTCAAGAAATCCCAGTTCCACCCTCGTTGCAGTCCTGCATAAATGCCTGTACAGGGCTTATTTGATTCACATCGAAGGATGTGAATCCGAGTTCCTCATCGTGAAGAAAGAAAGAAAGAAAAACAAAGGGAAACCAACTTCACTTGTTTCTGTCAAAACAGATCAGAGATAATACAGAGCTTCGTGTAACCGTGCGATTTATTTGAACCTGATCAACTCCTATTTCCAACTGTACAAATGATCTACTGGAAGCAAACTAAGATTTAATTGGACAACAGGTCAGGAATTGTTACATATAGCTAAGAATCCTGTCAGCCATGATAAAACAAAGCTCGTCAATGTGAAGTTTCACTTGGTTAGAGAAGCCGAATAGCCAAGGCAGTCAGTCCAGTCCACTGCCAGTCAGAAAAACAGCTAGCTGACATCTTCACCAGGCACAATCCCAGAGGTAGATTTGAAGTTATTGGAGCAACTACTTAAAACTTGTTGCTAGGTATGCTCATCAGGCATATATATCTTGTAATCTCTTGTGGATCAGCACATTTATGTGTTGTATGATTTTAAACTTGTATCTTTCAGTAGCATATGGTAGGATAGGAAAGAAAGCTGCCGAATGGAATTGTTATAATAATACATGTAAACAAAGCTGTCGTGAAAATTAACTTGATTTAATGCGAGACCTTCAGAGGCTCATAGCCGATCAGTTTCTATCTTACATGTTACACACGATCGGAAGGGAAAATTGCCTACAATAAGGTCTTGATGGGTGGGTAAAGTTAAAGGGCAAACCGCAAGAGAGCCTGGTGTTAGACCCAACAGAACAGTATGATGAGTAACGAATTCTCCTTATACTTCATGTTTTAACTGGCATTATGCTGCTTCAAATAATAGACTTGCTTGTTCGTGCATATCATTATCAGGGCATTGCACCATCATATCAGGCAAGGTAAGAACGAGCTAAAGAAACATCCAGAAATTGTGGATAGGTTGCTCGGGGAAGAATAACACAGCTTCGAGGACATCCGAGCTGAGATGCTAGATGGAGATCCAGCAAAGAAAATCCATAGTTATACTTGCTGGATATGCACGTTCTCAGTCAATGTTAGAGTTTGATATATTACTCATACAACCTTGTTGTGGCACATGCCTTCTCGAACAAAAACAAAAACTAATCCATTCTCTCGAATAATTGGAGTAAAACACTCAAATTAACGAACTTTATTCCATTCTTCCGTGGAAAGGAATGTTACACTGATAATAATTATAATTAATAATGTTACCATCTAGAAAACTCAGGCATCAAAATCTTGATAAGAACTGGAAGCTCCATATCCATCTCAACCAACACAACTAATTAATACTCCGTACCCATGCATAAGAGGCATTAAGTCATGTTGATCGGTTCTGTCGACAAGTCCTTTTAATCATCCGTGAGAGTAATGATGCATTTGTACACTAGGAACACGAATAGGATGAACCCGAGCATAGCTACTCCAGTCGCAATAAAAAGCACAGCGTCTCCCATCCTTCAATCTGTTGCAAACTACAAGAGACAGAGAGTTAGTTAGCTCAGCAGGTGATCGAGAGAGAGGA